ATTTTTTAAAATATTTTTATTTTTTATTATTAAAATTATTAATTTTATAAAAATAATAATAAAAAATAAATAAAATTAATTACAATAATGTAATTATACCCTCATTTTTATTTTTAAAAAATAAAAAATTATATTATTTTTAAATAAAAAATTAATCATTTTGTCTAATTAACAAATTTTGTTTTCAAGATGATAAATTTTTTAATTATAAATTAATGTAAAAAATATATTATAATAACTTAATGTTATTAAAGGTAAAAAAACAAAATTGAAATTTATTAGATAATTATTAATCAAAAAATGTGCACACAAATTAAAAAATTAAAATGAATAAATTTATCAATAAAATTAAAAAATTTTAATATGCTAGCGGTTTGAACCTGTCACGCCTCAAAACCCAAATTCGAGGCGCGACAGACACCGTACACTCGTGAGAGGATCCCACAAATGCACAAGACTCGAAACTTATCTAATTCACATCTGACAATTGAATAGTTGAAATCAAATATTTCAATTTATTTCTATATCCAAAATGACTTACATCCAAGTAATTGATCTAATGACCAAAATCTGTTTTGATCTTATAAATTCAAGGTAAACTCTATCTTACAAAAGTATGATTTATTTCTAAAATCTATATCAATCTTGAAATGGCTAGCCTTCTAACTCGTCACTTTCCGTGGTTTTCCCGTCCTCGGTTTCGCTTCCTGAAATGGTGGACAAGGAAAAACTATGAGATAAACTCAGTAAATAAAATATGGAGTGCCCCTTATTAAACTTATAGCATGCCAACAAGTGTAATCACGAAAAACGGATACAGTACGGGAACGAAATAGACATCTTCTCTATAGGTCATGGCTAGTGTTATAAACCTTCCACTGGTAGGTTACATTATTTGCTGGTGTATAACCCCCACTAGCAAGGTCACTCAAACGAACTGGTTCTATCAATAACATGTCGACATATGCTAGCGTTTAACCCCCACTAGTAGAGTCACTAATAATATGACCATATCGGAGACAAAACAGGCAGAAGTTAACAGAAAAATCATAATTCACCAGTCACTTTTAAATCATTAAGACAATCAATTAAATTTCAAATAAGCATGCTCAATTTAATAAAAAGCATAAAAATTTCACTTCAAATCAGTCATACTTACTTTTGTATAAAACGGGTTTAGTCCCGCCATCACTTCAAAAACAAGTCAAAATATGCTTTTAAAAACTGTACGAGCATTACCATAAATTTACTTACTTCAATCGCATAACATAAAAACTCACTCACATAAACCGAAAACTCGATCTCAGTATTAAACTGACAGAACAATTAGGAACCTAATCAAAATATCCAAGAATTAATTACCGTACCACGGATTCAAAAGCAAAATCACCATGAGTACCCCTAATCACGATGCTATTCCTATCAGTTTCCATATGACCAAACATCTCCAAATTTGTTCTTATATTACAAACTAAACATTTAAATCCCGGTAAATTGTTAGTCGTTAGTGCGTAAACAGTATCTGTAAACAGTATCCATGAACAGTATTCATGAACAGTAATCACACAGTAGACAGTAACTGCACTTCCATAAATTGGCAAAACAATGGCTAATTCACGGGATTTTTCTCCAAAATCTCACAGTAGTCAATTAACACTCAATCACATAAATTCCACTTGAATTAATGCTTAAATTTGTCCTAAAGCTACCGGAATTCATCCCCATTTTCTTCAGATTTTCGGACATCACAAGGGCAGCAAATTAACGGTAATTTGGACTTAAATAAAGCTGTCACATACCAAGAAATCCAGCAAGCAAACCGAAGCTGTAGATTGGGGAAGAGCCGGCGGGAAGTGCGGGGGAAACTACCGAAAATTGGAGAAACCAAGGGGAATTAGAATAAACCCAAGCCAATTAAAGCTGGAGAAGGGAGATTCATGGCTGTTTCTTACCAGAAACCGGAGCAAATCACACCCACAAAGTAAGAGCAGCCGGCGGAAGGACAGAGCAGGGCAGGGTAGATCCGAAAATTCTGCAGAGGGGGGGATTTCCAAGTTTAAATCTGGTTATTAAACAAGAAAATAAGGGGAAAATCCAAGCTTCTTACCGGTTTTTCTCAAGGGGAGGTGCGTCGGGGCCTGGGTTCCCTTGTTCAGCTGCAGGGGGACGGGAAAGAAGAAGAGCAGAATCGGGCTGAAGAAGGAAGAAAGAAGGAAAAAAGGCAAAAGGTGCAGATCAGCCCCTGAACTCAACAACTGGTGGCAAATCAGCCCCTCAACCCACTTCACGCGCAAATCAGCCCCTCAACTCCCATGCAGTGGCAAATCAGCCCTTCTCTTAACATTTCCGTTAACATTTAACATTCCGTTCATCACCCCTCTACTGCATTCTAGAGAATTTTCTCCTCTTCATTTTCATTTCCCTAGAGAATTTTCTCAAATAACAAACAAACAAACATGCCTGTCCTTTTCTTCCTCTTCTTGTATCTATCCCTGTCATCTGTCAATGTAAGAACGAAGAACTATCATTTACATACTGTTTTTTTTCTCTTTACTTGTTTCTTAGAACATAATATTCTCCAGTTTTTGCAGGTTTTTTCTACAGGAATCATGACCAAAGTTGCAGAGAACTCACTCAGTGCCAGAGCATCTGTGATCCGATACTGGAAGGCCCACATCTCCGGGAACCTTCCCCTGCCACCGTTTCTTCTCTCCAAGGCCTCCCCTCTAAATGCCATGGAATTGGCCAAGTTCACCAGAATTGCCGCTCAGAACAATCTCTCTTCAAACTTGGGCTCCTTCTGCTCCTCAGCCAACCTCCTCTGTTCTTTGGACAACTCCAAACCCGGCCAAGATCGAAACTTTGCACTATATTCCGGTAAAAGCTTTTCTGGGTATGGTTCATCTAGAATCGGAGGAGTTGGGTTGTTCAAAAACTACTCCGATGGGTTAAATGCGGCTGCTAATTCCTTCAATGAATACAGTGGAGACCCAGTCGCACACACAGAAGAGTTCAAAGGTTACGCCAAAGATGTCAATGTTGCTACTGATAACTTCACCAATTACGGCTCCGGTGCCACAAGTGGCTTCCGGGATTTCACATCCTACGATGGACGAGTTAACGTGCCGAATCTTGGATTTATCTTGTATGATTCCGACGCTAATTCTCATAAGCTTTCATTTTCAAGCTATACCGAGGAGGCAAATGCAGGCGCTGAAGCGTTCACAAGCTACGGAAAGAAAGACAATGCAGATCTGTCCCAGTTCAACAGCTACAGCAACGACGCCAACAATATCAGGTCGGATTTTATGAGTTACAGCATGTCGGGGAATGCAGCGAACGACTCGTATAAAGGATATGGTGATTCAGGGAACACTCCGCACAACAATTTCAAAACCTATGGCGTAGGTGCCAATTCAGGAATCGATAAATTCACCAGCTACCTAGACGGTGCTAATTTTGGAGATGATACTTTCCAATCTTACACAAGCCATGCCCATTCCGACGAAGTGAATTTCGCCAACTATGGGAAAACATTTAACCCAGTGAACGATACATTCAAAGAATACGGCAGAGGTTCCTTCGGTGATCCGACGATTGGATTCAAAACCTATGGATCGAATCCTAATTTTATAGATTACCACAAAAAGGGTGTCACTTTCAACGAATACATCGCCGACGAAATTTCTCCGGCGAACAGTCCCACACTTTTTGTGGTAATCTATAAAATTGAGTTAAATGTAGTAGAGGGTGATGAACGGAATGTTAAATGTTAACGGAAATGTTAAGAGAAGGGCTGATTTGCCACTGCAAGGGAGTTGAGGGGTTGATTTGCCACTGCAGGGGAGTTGAGGGGGTGATTTGCGCGTGAAGTGGGTTGAGGGGGTGATTTGCCACCAGTTGTTGAGTTTAGGGGCTGATCAGCACCTTTTGCCAGGAAAAAAATAGCTGATCCTTATCCAAAATTTCCCTCTTTAAGTCCCTCAAGTTTGGAAATTTTGGCTATTAAGCCCAAAACAATATTGTTCCACAATTTAGTCCTTAACTTAATACTAAAATATCACAAAATTTTGGGGTATTACAGAACCCTAACCGCTATCCGCTAATTTCAAACCGTTAAATAAAAATTTTACCAAACACTTTATTTATAACGGTTTCAAAATATATAAATTTATCAAACACCTATATTTAGCAATTTAGGTAAAATCGCTAACCATTACTCCAACACCACTATGCCAAATGGACCCTTAAAAGAACTACTCTATCTATTTCTTGTACAAAAACAAAGCAGTATGTTTCACTTAAAAATCTCTCTTTTCATGGTCCAGTATTCTTTTATGGCTGTAATTTAACATCTTTGCTTCCGGTGATTGGTCTCGACGCATGAGATTTCGATTAAAAGGATTTTTTAAGATAATCACCATCGGTAAATAATATAATCACCAAAGTGGTACTCAATGCTAAGTTTCTCCAACCACCTATTATGTCCCAATCTGTGCCACATTGGTGAATATAGCAAAGACTAACGTGGTATATGTTGAAAATGGGTGAAAAAACTATTAACCAGCTACCCACCTATTATAATTGGCTATTGTTTCGCGTTGCTGGAATTGTGTTTAAATTCAAGAATTTTTTGCATCTTAATTTTTTTTTTTTCATTTTATTGTTCTATTTAGTGAATTTTTAATATTTAGTGAATTTTTAATATTTTGTGAGGTCTTTTTGATTATTGCTCTATATTATCATCAATTCTGCAAATGGAATGGAATGTTGTAATCTACAATTATGTTGTTGGAATTGTTAAATTATTTAATTTGGTGTATAATTTATAAGATTAAATGAAATTTTTTTTATTGTGAGTGAGAAAATATTTGGTTTTGTTTCTTAGGAACAAAAATATAACAATGTAAATCATGTCTATAAATGGTGACTGGCATTTAAAAAAAAAAACTAAAAATACTTACCATTATAACTTATGTTACCTATGATTATGCTAAGATGTATTATGCCAGTAAATTGTAGTAAAATAATACTAAAACTAGTTTTTGTTTTGCCTGTGTGTTGCACAGTTTTTTTTTTTTT